TTTATTATTTTATTCGTATTTCAGTTTTTTTTACTATTTTACGTCAAAATTCTTTATATAAAACATATTTTATTTTAAAATTTAGTTTTTTATTTTAAATTATTTATTTAAATTTGGAACACATAAATTCGTTTTTAAAATTGTTTTAAGCTTTTATGTATCTTAGAAGTTTAAGGATTTTACTCTCAAATGGTTTTCATAAAAGTAAAAATAATTGTCTCCTGGAGTCTAAAAATGTTCTTTATTAAGGTAAAGAGACACAATAATGAAGCCCAAACTTTTTAAATTTCGAATTTTTTTAAATGAATTTGGCATTAAAAAATTCGGAGCTATAAAAGGGAGTAGTGCCAACACTGCTCGAAATAAAATCTTTTGATCTCTAGTGCACCATACTGTCGCCATTCAATAAAATGAAAATTATTTATCTTTCAATTTTAATTAAAAACTTGGTTGTTTAAAGCAAAGTGTTGCCACTGTTCAAAATAAAACACTTTCATCTTCCACTCATTAGCCTGTTGGCCTTCAGTAAAGTGTAAGATATTCAGATCTTGAGATTTAATCTATCTGTTATTGAGTTACAAACTAAGTTATTTAAAAGTAAAATATGCAGTTTTTAAGAATGTTTTTCCTACTTCATAATTTGATCGATTTAAATGAAAATACATCTAAATAACGAAAAATGTAATTAGAAAAATTAAATATTTTTATGAAATGGTACTAGTTGGACTCGTTAAAATTATTGCATACTTTTCTTGTTTTGTACCTATCTTACATAGACGGCTAGTAATTAAAACCCTTTACCATCTTTTCTTAATTATATTAATTCTAACGCAGCTCATATCGGTATTTTCAAAATTTTGATATAAAGGTTTTGCAAGATTAATTACAATTTTTCCCGGATGGTTCTAAAACATAGCACCTGAGTTTGGTTCCTAATCTAATAATTTCAAAAGACATTAGTTTAATAAGCTAGGTGGGTAATGGCCCTTTATGGCACTACTGTCTTTCCAACCCAAACTTAAAGATAATGGATTGGAGATCAAAATCGTCAGCAATAAGACAATAAATTATTTGTCTAACTGTATATGCGTCAGCTTATAAATTCTCTTGAGCGTACTTTACATTAACATACCTTTCCGGTCTGAGCGAATATATGTGACGTGAATGGAAGAGAAGATAGGAAAGAGTGTAACTTAAGTTTACCTGTTAATAAAATTCAAGATAATTGTTACTTTCTTCTAAAAAAGTAGCCTAAACTTCTTTAAAGTTGCATCATAATGAGCGAGAGAAGATGTCTCACTAATTTTACGTTTAAACCAGCTCAAAAAGTTGGTTATATTTCACAGGACATATTGCTTTTACTGATTGCGACTAATACAAATCTGAAATACACTCTTTATAATTACAAGTCGTTGATGTTCATCAATCTTGCAAACATTTCGTTGCTACAAATTAACTTTTATTACGCAAATGACGTGAATGTGTTATAGTTGTCCAGAAAATTTATACAGTCCGGTTAAAATAAAATCTGTGAGTAAATTAAAAGTGAAACTTTTTCAAAAAGCATTCTGATGGACTTAACTGGGTATGTGAAGCGTTGCAGATTCACTTTCATTGATTACTAGAGCGTTAAGTCGCTGAGAAAGATAACCATTCATTCAAGGCAATGGATGAAAACGGATGCACTATTGCTTCCATGTCTCGGAAGAAAAGGAAAATAGAGCATGCGTGTTGTAAGCAAAGTCTTTCAGAACTTTTTTCTAACAGAAAATTAGAGTAAATTTAGTAGCTATTCTGTCATACGATTTGTAAAATTTATACTTATTTAGATAATAGCTCTCTGAGTTTTCTTTCGTCGACATTTCTCGTTTCCATGTGAATTCCACTTACGCAAAAGCGCAAGTAATTTTTTCGAAGCTATTCAGCCGATGCAAGTTTTACCTCTTTGACAGTTTAAGAGTAAATGAAAGTGTTGCAGTAACTCTTGAGGGTGAATTGTACAGTTTCTAAAATTATTTTTTAAGTATTCGTCAATTGCTCTATAACAGTTGAGAGCAGGTATAGTTCTTAGCTGTTATAAAGCAGTTCTTAGATGTTATAACTTCAGTATAAGAATGAGTGGTATTTAGTGTTTGCTCGTTTTGGAAGGAAAACTTGATACAAGTTCAAAGTTTATTGCAAAATTATTAATCAATTTCATAAACACTATTAGCACCAATGGTGACATTTGGTTCGATTTACTTTCCAAATAACTGCTGCAAAATGTTATCACGGCGCAGTTATTAAAAAAAGAAATCAATAATGAATAAATAAAGTAATAATGAAATAAAAATATTTTAAAAAAGAAATAAATAATGAAACACAAAAGAAATAAATAATGAAAAATAAAAGGAAATAAATAATCAACAGGGAAAAATACATACTGTACGTATATAAGTTCTTCATTGTAGAAAACGACATGACCTAGAGCCACCGAATTTTTAATAAACGTAATCATCGGGCATCTCGAAGCCTGAATTTTGAATTTCAATTTTTTCTTTATTTCATATTTTGAGCAAATTTAACGAATTTTTGTTTAGAAAACTAAGCGATCTGAAAGCGAGAAGTGGTAACATTATTCGAAATAAAATGTTTTTAACTTCGTCTCGCCACATCTTCTCATTTGGCAAAATTTAAGATATTTTTCTTTTAATTTTAATCCACATATTTGGCTATATACAAGCAATATGTTGCTACTGCAGTTATATATATAGTAACACTTCTTTTAAATGGATGCCCCCTCGAGTGGTTTGTTTTCAAAGAAATAATATAGCGAATATAAAAAAGTGCATGGTAAACACTCTATCTGTAATTATAAATATATGCTGTTTTTTAAATATTTCGTGTCTTTGCTCTTAAATTTTATGTGGCGTAAGTGCGAAGAAAGAGATGCTTAATAATAAAGCTAAAACAACGGAAAAAATTATGATAGCAGTAGTGAATGCAAATTTGGATTGGTAATCTGTGATCTCAGCGAGACAAATGAAAACTCTAGACGTGACGTTAATCTTCTAGCATGGCGTTAAAATCTGAATTCTTTCAAGTTGCTTTCTTAATTTTTTAATTTTATTTGATTTTGGCACTACAGAAGAAATTATTAGAAATTTTTTATCTTCCAAAAACGTTACAACATTAATAAAAGTTAATATTTTGCCCTAATTACAAATGTATTAATTACATGATAATTAACATTATACTTACATGCTTAATAAATAATTGTATTATTTATTGTCATTCGTTTGCTATTATTATATTATATTTTTATATATGCCACGTATTGCCTTTTAGCAGTTACCTTAATTAATCATTATTATGCTCATTCATCAGCAGTTGGGCGGTTACGTAAGTCCTGCATGACAGTTTAATTCTTTATGAATAATCTAGTTATGTCTTTAGTTCGAACAAGCAATAAAAGTTAAGATTTTCTGCGCATCGGAGTCCTTAAATTTTGCTTAGAATTTAGGACTTAATCACTTACAGGCAAATATTTTGATGGTTAATTTTTCCAGTTACTTTATGAGCGCATCTTGTATTTACTCTAGTTCATATCTTTCTGACTACTTTTTATAATTCCTACTCAAATTACTTCGACCATTTTTCTAAATCTGTTTTTTCCTGTGAATTCCAGACTTAGCATTCTTTCGAGCATAAGCTTTCATTGAATTTCCTCACTACAGGAAATGCATTATTTAATTTAAGTAATAATTACAGCTATAGAAATGATACGTCGACGCAGTAACTGTGCTTCTAATGTAGCTCGCATTTTTTAATGTTTAGGATTGTTAGTCTGAAAAACTAATAATTTTGATTTATTAGGAATCCAGTTCTGCACCAGTTAATTAAAGTAATGAATTACATTGTTATTGAGCAGAAAATATCAGCATAAAAAGTATCAAAATTTATTATTCAAGAAAAAATTCATTGGTTTATTTCAAATCCTTTAACTTAATATCTTACGAGCTTGCTTCAAATTACCCACCAGCAGCTAAGCGGTAAAGTCACTGAATACTTATATTTTGATCTGAGCAAAACCGGGCTGAAAGCATCCTTCTTCTTACGCAGATAGCCGTCGAATGATTTGCCATAATCAAATAAACCTAAAAACCGTGTTTCAAATTCATTAGTTAACTGAATGTCAAAATACCAACAGTCACAACCTCCGAGTAAACATCGTATGGCACAGTATTGCATTACAAATAGTCATTCTGTATTGCAATGTAGGTATTAAATATGTTAGAGCTTTCAGTATGAGCAATTTTATGTCATATTTAAGTGTTTGTGAATCATTATAACATGCTGGAAAGGTGTAATGAAAGGAGTTCCGGTTCCGGTTACCGGTTAGGACCAAAACGAACCAGCTTAGAATCCTAGATTTCAGTAACTCCCAACTCCTAAGTTATCGTAAATTTCTCCTAATCATATTTTTCAGAGATGAAAACAAGGGAAGTGGACATAAGAGGTAAACTATAGGAAAGGCGTAGACTTTCTTAATCAGCTCATAAGACGTGAGTTTTAATTTATCATTTAAATTTCCGAAACAATACAGTTGGTGCCCAATAATTCAACACTATAATTAGGTAAAATATATGAAAAACTTTCGTTGCTACAGAATTTTAATTATCAGGAGCTGACATGGGAATAATATTTAAGTTTTTATTGACATGGGAATAATATTAAGTTTTTATTATTTATTTATATTATTATTAAGTTATTGTTGCAACTTGAGTTCCTATGGTATTTCCTCATTTCTAAACGGGTAACCGCATTTCATTGAAACGAAATTTTTATGATCCCAAATAACCTTTTTACGCTTGCAAAGAAATGTTCTTTACATACGAATATACTATATAATCGCTCAGATTTGTGGAAGCTGAAAGGACATAGTTACTTCCCTATGTTAATTTGAATTGTTGAATTATATGAGTTTATTTAAAACTAATTTTCTTTCATTTTCATTTTAGATGTCCCTAAAGTCTATTGGCTGTTTCATAGGGTTGTGCGTACTCGTGGTATCTTCAGCAAAAGATATAACTTCCAAAGATTCCGTGGAAGCTGAAGAAGTCAAAAATAAACCTTCACCATCTCCTATTTCCGCCTTATTCATTGGAGATTTGCTGAGAACCAACAACAAAGACAGCCTAGAAGCTTCTGCCACAGGTCACAATCCAGTTGCTTTTGTCCCGGAGTATATTTCAACCGCTCGCCTTACAACCACTCCAGTAGCAGGTAGAATTTTTACAGCCAAAGCTAGGGGAAACCATGAATATTCTGAAACTGAAGTTCTTCGTCCTGCTTCAGAGATAGTGGACAATGACCGTTTAGGTTCCTCAAACAAAGCAGGAGAAATGCCCCTTCATGTATTCGAGCAATTTTTAAATTTACAGTCTGGAAAATCATCTCCAATTCTTGAAAGATCAGCTCGACCCGAAGAAATAAAACGTCATTATGAAAATGATGACTGTCGTAAGAATTCTCGCTCAGGAGATATAGCCTACACTCCTGATAAGCAGAAATTTCCTCGACGAGAAATTCTAGATACATCAAGCCCTAAAATTGAATATAGGCAGGCTCAGACAGGTAGTTATCAACAAACTGACGCTGGAGATTACAGCAGTCACGAAGATCCACGAGTTTCTAGTGGTTATGACTCAAGAAGTTATCCATCAGAATATGATTCAAAAAGCTATCCATCACAATACGAATCCAAAAGTTACCCATCCGAACATGAATCAAAAAGTTATCCCTCTGAACACGAGTCAAAATCCAAATCCCATTCTTCTGGCAGTTATACTAAATCTAAAAGCACTTCAACTTCACGGACAACCACTCCAAACAGAGTGAAACCAAAAGTCCATGTCTTCGGTGATTTACCTGTGAATAAAAATGAGAATAACAGAGGACATCACAGTGGTAATAAAGAAGAAGAAATTGTTGTGTACAAAGTCAGAGACGAGGATAGGCAAAGACCAAATGGTTACAATGATCCTTCACATTCAGAATACCAACAGTCATCACCTCCGAGTAAACATCGTATGGCACAGTATTCAGTGGAACATACTCCTGGAGTAAGAGCGGGGAAACCTTCTCAGGGATCTCAGCAGCGACGACCAGCGGGTCATCGTCCCGTAGAAGATTCCATTGGTCACCATGAAAACAGGCCAGTTCAGTATGGACCTCCTCAAGATCATGGCAATTATGAGCACAGTTCATATCCTTCAGATGAGCGACAAAACTACAGGCAAGAGTACATTCAACAAGATGTTCATCCTTCTCATCAACATCAACAGGAATTCAACTCACCATCCGAATATACAGATCATTCCCAAGGAAACTATAGAAATGGAAAAGACGCAGTCGTGTACGTTTCGCAACAGCCAGAAAGGAAACGATCAAGGAAAAACCATAGGAATCGTAATGTAAATTATGAAGCTGGTATCGAAACTAAACTGAGTCCTGGAGGGAACAGATACAGTAATCAGCCTCAAGAACACGTATTACAGTCGTCTAGACAAAGGGCAGAAAGACCTCAAATTCCTTACGACAACTACCCTGTAGAAGAAATCCAGGTACAAAGAGAAGCCCAAAGTGATAGTTATCAGAGAAATCAAAACAGTAAACTCATGCCCTCTGAGCTTCAACAGCCTAAAGAGTATGTTTTTCAGGCTACACCAAATGAGGTAGGCATGAGGCATGAACAAAATAGTAGAGGCTATAAAACGCAACATAGACATCCTGCAAGAGCTGTTCGTTCATCTTCACAGCATCTGAAACCACGTATAGTTGAAGCTAGAGCACAATATCCAGGTGGCGATGTAGTCGAATCTCCAACTATGGTAAGCAAGGAAAGCAAGCCGTACGTGTCGCGCTCTGTCTCTTATTCTGAAAGCAGCTACAATATGAAAAACCATGGACAATCTGAACCTAAATCGACTAAATCAGACCAGCAGGCTCGTCAGTACAATGAGCCTCAAAATTTAAATGGCGAGATTCAAAAGGATGATGCTAGTCACCTTGATTTTCAAACTTCATACAAGCCATTTAATTCTGAATACCCTGCAAGCTACGCCAATGACCAACATCATAACGGAGCTCATGAACATCCTCGGCTAATGGCAGACCGTCCATACGGAGAGCAGCGTCAGCATTATGATGAAGGACCATATGACGGTCCCTCAGAACAAGGTCCATATGCGCCAGGACCAGAAGGTCCATATGGACCAAATTCAGCAGAACCTGAGGCATACGGTCCAGGTCCATCAGAACATGGGCCTTACACTCCTGCAGATCAAGGGCCATATGAAGGCAATTATGGGCCTCCAGAAGGACCACTAGAAGGCTATCAAGAAGATATTGATAACTCTGAACCTTTACAGATAGATGATAAATTCTTCGAAAAATACGAAATATCTAAAAATGCAAAGATTATTGTTGCACAACCAGTGGAACCAAACTTATTTCTTGCTGATGGAAGAGATGTTGTAGAAGGAGGACATTCTGATGATGACGAAGAACCTGCGCAAATAGAAAATTACGAAGCCAAAGAACACAGTGAAGAGGAGATACCTCATAAAAGAATGCCTCAGGGAATGAGAGTTCCTAAAGAAATTCCCGGTTCATTTAGCGATCTTGTTAATTCCAATCCCAGGTTTCTTAGGAAATTACCGAAAATTATGAGTTCTGGGAAAGGTGGATTTGTAAGCTCAAATGCTGATGACTCTTCCATCGACGACCTTGATTTCCGCAGCAATATGAACGAACCTAAAGCTCTCGTTTCTAAAGGTGAACTTGTTCAGCAACATGGAGATGGAGTTAGTAGGATTGTTTTCAATGTACCAAAAGGGCGATCTAAAGCCTCGGCTTCTACAAAGTCTGAAAGTTATAGTGTAAGTAAACAAGATCGGAATGATGAAAACTTGCAGGAAGCAAAATCTGAAAACATAAATACAGTTGTCAAGTCAAATACTGAAGATGTAAAATCTGAATAAAATAGTTTTTAAAATGGAACAATTTAAATGTCATGAGAATATGTAAATTTAGGAAATTGATGTGATTAAGCTTCACGTTCAGAAGATTTACTGCTTCTTCAGACTAGTTTCCTGTATTTTGATATTTACTGAAAAAGAAATATTTCTTCATTGAAATGATTGCATAAGTTTTCTTTGAAAACGCTAGACTTTCCACGAAGTTCCTAAGAATTTCCTTATTGCATATATTTCATTCGTTCTTAACAATGCAATAATATCATATTTAAGATCGTTGAAGTTTGGAAATTGTTTTTGATGTAATTGAAAATCAACTAAAGCTTCCTTTACAGGTCTATAAATCCAGTAACATTTAATTTTAAAATTAAATTTGACATTAGCACTCAAAGTCATATAAGTACAATAAATTTTAGACATATCTTATTTTCTTATTTTTATTTATATGCGCAAAATTAAGAATTTTAAGAAATGTAAATTTATATTTTTAAAGTAAAATATTCTGATATGATATTTTTTAAATTTCAATGTTTTTCTCTTTTGTGTGATTTAATGTGCACATGTATTTTCTGTAAATAAAACTCGTTCGTGTGTTTTTTTAGAAATATAAAATTGTAAATATGTGAATTTCAAATGTATTATATATGCCGCATTATTTGTATTACTGTTTTTGTACAGAATAAAGAAATTGTTTGTAAACACTGGCTTATGATCTTATTATTTAAGATACAATTGGGATTTATTTAAAATACAATTAATACAGCTTTTCAGTTAGGAAAATACATAAATACATGAGTCAAACATGAAATACCAAAAGTAGTATTCACAATTACAGCATAAGCACGTAAGTTTGATACCATCAAAGATGACCATTGTCCTGACCTTTCCTGAAAAAGGTGTTTCGGTGTTTAGTTGTCCTGGTAGATACCCTCTGATACTAGCTAGACCTCTCCAAAAGAAGCATTAGCAGACCAGACGGCATTTATTTCAATTTCAAAATATATACATTTACAATTACATTGAGTATTACATATGTGAAATACTTTACCTCATATATACATAAGAGCATAAAATTCCGTGTCATACAAATCTGTGATTCTAATAATGATTAATTCCAAATAATCATAATACTAAGTCCATGAAATGTCCATCATACATAGGTCGATGATATGTAAGATCCATGCCAATCATTATGCATAAATCATAATCATAAATTTAACTATAGGCTGGTAAATCCTAGAACTCTATCTAAGGATGTCCACTATACTGTCTTTCCCATTCTATTACATTCCATCTGTTAACCGAGGCATACTATACTGCATAGTAGTTGATGATTTTATTTATTTTCCTTTCAATTTTGCCACTTAAAAGAAGTTCAATACCCATTGTGGCCAATTAAGTTCTATCTGCTAAGTACAAAACTATGGATCTCAATTTATCCAGATTAATTGGGGGGAGCAATTTCGAATAAGGAGTTTCAAAGCTTGTTTTCATAAAAAATAGCATTGTTCCGTTTTTGCGAACATCATTTTTGACACCAGTACTAGAGATGTACTCCTTTAAAATAAAAGAAACTTCCAAGATTTTTTCTCTTACTCATGCCTTTTATTTAAATATCATACTAAGAATATTAATATACCTGGATTTTATCGAGGAATAAGATAAGCCACACATGGCAACGTTTCTTCCATTTTGTAGATAGTGCGCCATTCTTCACAGTATGGCAACAAATTTATTTGCGATGTAATGCAAATATTTTAAAATAATTCACAGAAATTTTTGATTTTTTATTTACTTTAAGAGACATTCTTCATTTTACACAAATTTACATTGATATAAAGCACGTATGAACGCAGGTATTCGGATTTATTAGATTACAGCAATTCACATTAGAGCTATTTACCTAACGGGAAAGATACCTTCATGGAATGTTTTCTAACTGAAACCTAGCACGTATTCACATTGCACTTGAAGAGAACCATGCAATCAGCCTGCTGGATTTGAGCTGAAGTCGTCCAGCTGTCTTATTCGCTCAGCCATTGGTGGGCTGCAACGCAGATATTAAAGTCATCTTAAAAACAGATATTTTTGAGCCTAATCCTTTTGCATAAAAATATACTGCGATCTTACGTTGTAAAATTTGCATTTACTATATATATTTATAAAACATAGAAATATAAGAAAATGAAAAGAAATATTCATTTATAAAATATCTGGATTCCTTCTCAGTTAGCAGATTTTTTTTTCTTTGAGAACATACAGACTCCCTGTGCACCACATATGTACAACACGGGGCTTACAGAAGTAAGTTAACTAGAACATTAAAGGTTACATGTATAAATAAACATTAAAATTACATGCATAAATAAAGCGAACAAAAGCAGAGAACAGCAGTCTGGACTTCACGAAAACAGATAAGTTCACTGGCCAAGGTCACTCCGAACATTTTCAAATCGTTCTGTAAGCATAATCTAGGGCCATCAAATGTAGGGCACGAGAAAATCAAATGTTCCACATCCTGAGGAACTCTTTTTGAACATTCACATAAATTGTTTGATCGTAGATTAAAATGAAACAGATAACTTGCAAATTTACCGTGACCAGATAAAAACTGAGACACTTTAAAATTTAACGAGAGGAAAGACTCGGAATTCAGTCTATGGTAAATAGAAGGAAGGAACCTTTTGGTGACTTCCGCATTACAAGATGAAATGTATTCCTCATTCCACATAGCTAAAAGCTTTTTATAATGAAAGGACTTCCAATAACTCTTTGGAATGCTAATGTTGATATCAATGGGTAAATTTAAGGCATCTTTAGCTAAGAAATCAGCTCTTTCATTTCCGTAGAAACCATGATGAGCACGCACATAAGCAAAGCAGATATCAATACCTCTAATTCTAAGTGAACTAACTAGCGTTTCGATAACTAATTTATCGCAGCTGGTAATACTGTTCAAAAGTTGAAGAGAAGAAAGAGAATCAGAACAAATAAGGTACTTTGAGGATGTTGTCCCATGATCCTGGATCCATTTGACGGCAAGATAAATGCACAGAAGTTCTGCTTGAAAAACTGTACATTCATTCCGTATACGGTGTTTAAGAAAACAAATCTTGGATTGGCCTTCAAAAAGAACAAATGCAAGACCAACCTTGCTGTTCATCTTGCTGCCATCTGTAAAGAAAACCATATGAAAACTTATTTCAGCAGTCTCTTTATAATCGCAGAAATTTATGGGTTCTAAAGAAGCGGGATAAGGAAGATCAGTGAAGGGGACAATTCCATTAATACAGTCTTCCGAAGCATGAGTTGCCAATGACTCAAATATTATTCTTATATGCAATTTCAAAATCAATAGGCGGAACTCCTGCAAGAACAAAAGTAGCCTCATAGCTTAAGGTTCTATAACCACTAATAATACGAAGAAGAATTCTCCGTTGAATCTTTCTTAAATTTCTTTTGTTAACCTTCTTGGCAAGAACATGTCCCCAAGCACGACGAAAAAGCCGTACGACGAAAAAGCCGTACCCCAAGCCGTACGAAATGAAAGGTACAATACACTGCTTATACATGAGTTTCTTAACATCGTAGCTTACTCCAAAAGTATTTTTGGCAATTCGGTGAAAGCCATTAATAATTTTTTCACATTTAGCAGAAAGGAATTCAATGTGCTTTTTCCATGTTAATTTTTGGTCAAGAATGACACCAAGATATTTAACATTTTCTACCAATTCCAACGGAGAATTATCGAGCATCAAAGAAGCAATATTTTGTTCATCAAACGTACTGGGAACAAGCATAGCTTTACTTTTTGAAGGATTGAAAGAGAGTTTATGAGAAATCGCCCAACTGGAGACAAAATCTAGATTTTCTTGTGCTCTCAAAAGAATGTTATTCAAAATCCTTCCTTGGAAAATTAATAGTAAGTCGTCTGCAAACGCAATTTTTAAACAACCGTCGAGATGATTTAAAAGATCATTTATGATTATGTTCCAAAGAGTAGGTCCGGATACAGAGCCTTGAGGACAGCCTTTTTCTAGAGAATAAACCTTAGCTTCGTTCCCAAGCTGAAGCTCAGCAGTCCTCTCGTTCAAGAAGTTTTTAAGAAGGTTATAGATATTATGTGGTATACCAGCATCTTTTAAAAGTTTTAAGATAGATGGCCACCAAGCCTTATCAAAAGCTCCTCTGAAATCCAGGAAAATAAGAAGTGTAGTATAATTCATTTTCTTTGCACACTGCAAGATATTACAAAGGCGAATAATGGCGTCTTCAGTGGACTTCCGAGGAGTAAATCCGAACTGAGAATCATTATAAAAGCATTTTTTCTCAAATACCAATTTATTCTGTTAATGAAGAGAGTTTCAAGACATTTTCCCAAAGTAGGCAAAAGACTAATGCATCTAATATTATCAAGATAAGGGGTTCTTGTATCTAACGTTTTAGGAATCAAAACAACCCGAGCTCTCTTCCATTGTGCTGGAAAAACTGTTAATTGTAAACAAAGGTTGAAAAGTCTGTGTAGAAATGTGCTATAAACCGCATGAAAGTGCTGTACCATTTCATTAGAAAGAGAGTCAAGCCCAGGTGATTTGTTCTTCTTGAGATTTTTAATAACACTGTTAACTTCTGAAGTAGAGAACAGACAGTCCACAGAAGAAATATAAGGTCCATCAGACTCAGTGCGCATAGTTCTATGAGAGAATTTCTATCATCACGCGCATTATCTCTTGGGAAATTCTTTGTCATTATAGCAACAATTGTATCACTCAAACTCGAAGTAACACTGCCGTCCGGGAGTTTAATTCCCGAAATCTCAATCCTTTTCGCAAAATTGGTCTTAACCCCATACTTATATATAGATTTCCAGACATTGTGAACAGTAATAGTTGAGAGAAAATTCCTCCACGACTCAAGCTTAGCATTAGCTAATTTAGCCTTGTACTTATGCCGCAATTCGAAATATTTAATTTTATAAATATTTTTAAGAAGACAGTTTCTTTCTCTCTGGAATCTACGCCTAGCAGCATTTACATGCTTTCTATAACAATCAATTTCCTTAGACCACCAAGGGACCCCATTCTTCTTACTTTTCTTCATCGGAATTGAAAGTAAAGCACAATTAAAAACAACGGTAGAAAGTCTGTTTACAACATTTTCTAATGCAATATAATCAGAGCAACTGTTAAGAAGGATATTCAAGTTACACAATTCTCTCTTACAAAGTTCAGTAAATAAAAACCAGTTCGCTCTTTTTAAATTAAAAGTACACAAATTAGAAGATATAATCGGACGGCATAAAACAAGTTCAAAGATAATCATTTTATGGTCAGAAAGAGAATCTTCCTCAGAGATATCCCAACCTACCAATTAGTTAGCAGATTGAATCTTAATTTTATTTCATAGTTTCTCTATCCTATTCTCTTCTTCAATATCCTTACAGAGATATTAAATGTAATTGTTAGTTTATATATTACACAACGTAACTTCTTATAACAATGAACGGCAGAGCTGTTAATGAAGAACATATTAGGCAGGTGGCTTTTGCAGTTTGCCATATTATTTTGGAACACTTATCATCTCTCAACACGAAAATACTCTCTAGATGTTGGTGGCAAGAGAGATGGAATCGAGGCCCGCGT